CAATTCATGCGGTATAATGCAGTTAAGTGCGAGATAGCAGGCTTCTGACCAACTTACATATGTGTGACACGTATATAGCGCATGCTCTGTCATGCCGGGCTACTAGACATTACCGTGGGATTTTTTTTAATTTTTGGTGCCTTCTTGTTTGAAATTGCTATCGGGGGTTGCTCTCTTTCTGAAAACAGGCAATTTGGGCGTTCCGAAGCTGTGCTCGGGGACAATGGGACAGGCTACCAAAAAACGGGACGTATTGTCACGTTAGGCATGACACTTGTTATGTTTTGAGTTTTTGTGTTCACATGCAAACCAACAGAGAACAAGAAACATTTCAAAGTGGTGTTTTCTGTCTCAGGGAGGTCAAAAACATGGAGATCAGTGACGAATCCAGGGGGGCTATCGGACTGCAGCCCCCCCCAGAACTAAACCAAAATTCTTGATTTTATTTAAAATCACTAAAACTTAATTTTCATTTTTAAAAAATAATAAAATCGTGACATCATTGCTTTCTGGCTTGACAGGATCGAATAATTTTCCTACTTTCCTAGTCATTCCACTTGTAGCGTTGATGCGATCGAAAACATTTTTGGCTAGTTATTTCATTGTATTTTTTATTAAATTATCGAAAGTATTGTAGTGTTCTTTGTGATTCTTATTGTCAGGTGAGGAAAGTCTGTAAAGTTAAAGTTTTTTGGTTTAGATAAGCCATGAGGTTTGACATTCGTCACGACGATACAAAATTTTTATGACCTCCGGGCCGCCCCGCCCGACCTAGATTCACCAATGGTGGAAATGCATCAAAAGTTCGAGACTGAACTTTTGCATGATTGCTGTTCTTTCTCTTTAAACAATTCCTAAACGAGAAAGACAAAAATGGCAAAATGTAAATGATAAAATCCGAATCTAACTTAAAACGACTGTCTTATTATTATCTGCTATTACAAACTGAACTTTGCCTATGATAAAACAAAATAAAACCGAAGAGAAGCAAATTATTTCGTGCGGATGTGCCACCAGTCCTTGGAATGCAGTCTGCAGACGAGTGACGAGCGAAACCCGAGAATGATACGGGAAAATGAAAAGTAAACACGGAATCTGTTTACGGATGCAGAATTAGGTTTTGTTTGCTGCGCATTCATGTAACTATTTCAGCTATGCAAAAAAATAAAAGTTATCACATTGACTCAGCTAAATAAACTCGACCGAAGTGACGTTCGTATCGCGTGCTGAAAGTAAACAAATAGAAATGAACGTCTCCTAACACATACAGTTCACGCATTGATAGCTTTCGCGGCTCGTAACTTCAGACAGAACCGGAGTTGAGCTTCTGTCGTTTAGATATCGATGATTCTTCAAAATATTCAAATTAATTTACAGCGAATGCAAAGCGTATATTTCATGCAGATATTTCATTTGTGGACGGATGTGGCCAAGGAAGGTTTAGCTAGTTTAGTTACTTTAGTTCTATTAACGTCCCGTTCTGAAGTAGTACGAGGGCTATTTTGGGATGGACCTCGTAATTTTGAGTGGCTGTAAAATGACGAGAACGGTACTTGAGCTGGTACACCCCTCTTCAAACTTCCTCACCACACTGACAGGACGACGTTTGACCCACTACGAATGATTTAACTTACAACAGACCCACTGTGGCGCACCGTGCTACGCCCTCTTACTCTGATGTATATTAGCCAATATCCACCTCCGGACATTGGGAATGCCTTTTGTCTAGGGGTTAAGATGTTCGGCTCAGAACCCAAAGGTTCCCGGTTCTATCCCGCCGCGAAAGTGGTGACTCGCGGACAAAGAACACGCAACAACACCTTTCAGTCCCACTAATAGATGGCAGCACCAAAAATAAGATAAATTCCATCTTCTGCTACATTCACCAGATGGCAGCACTACAACTCCTACAGCAACGCAGCTCTCCCAATTCAAAGTCTATGACACATTTCATAGCACAAAGCATGTGACGCATTTCACTGCACGCAAAGTCTATGACCATTTTCATAGCACGTACCTGCGCACCAACAATCTGGGCAGCAATCTGCGCATATGCACGCAGCACATCGCTTCCTTGATATTCAGATAATATCAAACAAGCTGGGGGTTGCTCCTGTGGCGCACCGTGCTGCGCCATCTTACTCTGATGTATATTAGCCAATATCCACCTCCGGACATTGGGAATGCCTTTTGCCTAGTGGTTAAGATGTTCGGCTAGGAACCCAAAGCTATCCGGTTCTATACCGCCGCCGAACCACATGCACAACGGATCTTCATCAGAATTGGATTTTGAAGCGGGAACCCTCCGGTCCTGAAGACGAGACCTTCCCACTAGGCCACTAATACCAAGGACAGGTCTACTGGAGCATGGGTGGGGAACCTGCGGCCTTCTCGAGTTTCTCATGCGGCCTTACCAGTTATTTACAATTTGCATTGAAGTATATAATTGTCCGTAACATAATAATAAATACAGAACAATAACCCTTAAGATTTCTGCTCGTGCGTCCTTTTGCCCAACTGCCAAAATTCAATGAGGCATTTCATTTCAAAAAGGTTCCCCACCCCTGAACCGGAGTGTTCACCCCTCAACTTTCTGGTATACTCCCAGAATACAGCGCATTTTGTATTGAGCTTCATGATATAGTGAAGAAAATCCTGTATGCATTTTGGACCTCTCCCGTTGCCGGATTGAATCCAAAATTTGATACAGCTCTGCAATTTGGGTGTAAAGATCGCAGACTGAAATTAATCCACCTAGTTTGTTCCGGTTTGGAGTTACAGCTCTCATAGATACGTGAATAAAAAGGCTGACAGGCAATCAACCCGTGGGCGGGGTTAGTTCACAATTTGATGCACATTTCTTCTTTCTAGCTTGCTATGGTTTTGAGTTATCGTGTTACGCATGCATACGAACAGACAGGCAAACATCCATTAGACGAATTTCGCACATAATTTTGTATAAAGCTGCAATTTTGGTGTAAAGACTACATACCGAATTTCATGTGTCTATTGTTTAGCAACGGATTCGGAAACCCTCCACGCTTTTGAGCATGCGCCGGGAGTTATTTTCATCAAAATAGGGGAAAAGTGAAGAATGGAAGGGTGATGTTTACATTTTACTGAGCGTGATCTAACAAAGATCTCCGGAAATGCGCTCATATGACTCATTGCTTGACACTCCTTTCCGGTGTAAAATCGTCCAAAAGTGCTAGTCTAGGAATCCGTTGCTGAAGAGTGGCATATTCCGGTATTGTGTTATCCTGTTCGCATATAGACACAATTCTAAAAATTGCTTTTTCTCTCTCGGGGAGGTCTAAAACATAGACACTCATGGAAATGTCTATGTCAGTTTCCTTTTTTTCCGACGATTACGATACTTTCTCTTTCTATACTTCATATATGATAACGCAAAAAAGACACTATGCCCTGAGCTATATACTGAAACCACTTGCTGCACACTAGGGTAAAAAGCGGAGCTATGCGATCTCCATCTGGGAAACTGTTAGAGATATGGACAAGAGTCAATCAGAAAGTCGTTCAGCGTCTTCGATTTAGTTGAAGATGGCATTCCATGGGCATGAATAGCCTAATATGAAAGTGAAAAAAGAGAAATAGAAGCGAGTACTAGTGTTGACTTAGTAGTGTTGATTGCATCACAGAGAATTGCGTGAGTCAGTACTATGAAAGCAACATCAGTTAATGATAATTAAACACATATAAATACATATCCAGTGCGACTTTTACGTCGCATAGTGTATGTAGTCATCTTTATAGTACGAAATACCAAACTGTATCATTTGTTTAGGTACAGTGATTACTTTACAGTGTAATAATTCATGTACATTATGGTGATTATACTATAATGTATTTACAGTTATTATATTGAAATACTTGCCGACAGTTATATCTAAGGAGGTTGTTCATTTTAAAACCGCGATGGTAGAGTCTTGGCGTCTGGTTTGGGGGTAGCAGATTTGATCAGCGAGGATCTGCCGTGTGCAAGGAACTGGTCCACATGAAATATGCCATTGCGTCATGCTGGTATGGAGTGCAAGTTTGGAGAGTACAGTTTGGGCTCATGTGTTGCCCTCGCCATCTGATGACTGTTCAAATTGCTAGGTCCGTTCCAAATTAGCCCTCGTGTGCTCTAAAACGTGATAGAAGTCTAAATACCTGATTCCTTCTGTAAAGAAAAGGTTTATTTTAACTACCAAAAAAATTAAAACTCCTATACTACTATACTACACTGAAGAGCCAGAAAAACTGGTACAACTGCCTAATATTGTGTAGGGCTCGCACGCACACACAGAATTGCCGCAACACGATGTGGCATGGACTCGACTGATGTCTGAAGGTATCCTGGAGGAAATTCACCCATGACTCCTGCAGGGCAGTCAATAAATCCATAGGAGTGCGAGGTGGCGGAGATCTCTTCTCAACAGCATGCAGCAAGGCATCCCAGATATCTTCAATAATGTTCATGTCTGGGGATTTAGACGGCCAATGGAAGTGTCTAAAGTCAGAAGAGTATTCCTGGAGCCACTTGGTAGCAACTCTCGACGCGTGGGGTGTCGCATTGTCCAGCTGGAATTGTCCCAATCTGTCGGAATGCACAATGGACATGAATGAGTGTAGGTGATCGGACAGGAGGCTTAAGTACCTGTCACCTGTCCGAGTCGTCTCTAAAGTATCAGTGGCCCCATATCACGCCAACTGCACACGTCCCATACCCTCACAGAGGCTCCACCAGATTGAACAGTCCCCGTTGACAAACGGGGTCTATGGATTAATGATGTTGTCTCCAGACCCGTATATGTGCATCTGTCCGCTACAATTGGAAACAGGACTCGTCAGACCAGGAGACGTGTTTCCAGTCATCAACAGTCCAATGGTAGTGTTGTCGGGCCCAGGCGAGGCGTGAAGCTTTGTGCCGTGCAGTCAACAACGGTACACGAGTGGACCTTCGGCTCTGAGAGCCCATATTAATGACGGTCCGTTGAACAGTTCGCACGCTGACACTTGTAGATGTCCCATCATTGAAATTCGCGGCCTTTTGAAGAAGTATTGGACGTCTCTGTCGTTTAAGGATTCACGTCTGAGTCAATGGTCCAGTTCTTTCAAGGTCTTTTTCCGGCCGCACCGATGGCGGAAATTTGATGTTTTTCCGGATACTCGATACTCACGGTACAATAGTGAAATGGTCGTACGCGAAAATCCAAATTTCATCGCTACTTCGGAGGTGTTTTGTACTATCGCTCGTGCGCCGACCATAACGCCACGTTCAAAGTCACTTAAATCTCGATAACCTGCCATTGCAGCAGCAGAAACCGATCTAATACCTTTGTCAGATATCTTTTGTCTTATATAGGCATTGCCGACCGCATCGGGGTACGATGATTGGTTGCATACCCCCGTTATTTGCAAACGCACGCCTGTACCAGTTTTTCTGGCTCTTCAGTATATAATCATTCATATTGGATTTATAAGACGTCAAATTTGTAAAACTGTTTTTACATCGTTAGATAAAACAGAATTAAAAATGGATAAGAAGTAACTACAATTTTAAAATTCTACGACGTAGTAAATAGTTGGAAATACATCGAATTAGTGAAACCCTGAAAATGAAGTAAAATAAACATTTATGAAAGAAGAAATCTTAAATTTGCTAATAAATTTGTTTCGCCTGATATTTACCATACTTTTATAAAATCGCTCATCAGCAACGCCCACAGCCTACAACTGTATTAAAAAAATTTTTTATCTGAATGTCAAACGATGAAGTCTTTTGTAGAACTGTTTATTCAAGATTTTAAAATTTCATTTCTGTCTGAAATTGTGTGCGATATATTCCCAAAAGATCAGAAAAGCTGTAAAAAAATTCAACTATTAATTAGGATGTTGTCATTCATTTTTGCGAAAATAATTATCTATAAATGAAACTCCAATTCAAAATTGTGATTTTTAAAAAATAAATAGAGCTGTGAAAAAATTATTCTTTACGCTGCTTTTATGATAGTTCCTATTCTCTAGAGACTTATCCGTTCATTTTTAACCAGCGTTCTGAAACTCGAGTACTAATTAGCGATAAAATAGAACGCATAATAATATTGCACATTAAATCAAAGCAGAGATTTAAAAGTTGTGGTTTTAATCTCACTTGGTCTAGCATAGTGATGGACAATCTTTGTTCTAGACCCACGAGGGAGATTTTATTTTGCCCGCATTGTATTTTAAAATAATAGAATGATAACATAAAACAAGTAATATAAAAAAATTTAAAAGTCAATTCCTACTTAGGTGAACAAAGAAAATTTTTTTAAAAAAAGGAAAAAAAATTGAAAAAAAAACTGTATTAACATCAAGTGTCATCCACTATAAGTTTAAAAAAATGTATTTGAACTTGAGTGGATGAATAAAAAGTATTTTATTAACGATTGAAATTTTGAACAAGATATATAAATAAATATATATAGGGAGAGTGTGAACTAATAGTAGGAATTGAATAATAGTATAATAATTTAAAATACTAATACATATAGTAATAAATAATAATTTAAAGTAATAGTATAACAGTGAATTCCGGTTCGTGCCAGATTATGAGAAACTTTTAGAAATGCAACCACAACTTCATTCCTCGCATTAGTGAAATTATTTTTAAAATAATATTTTAAAGTCATGTTTTTTTCAGTATTTACTGTGTTTTATAAAAAATTATATTTTCTTTCCAAAAACTTTTAAATAATATTTTATATTATTTGAAAAATTATATACTATTTTATTTATAAAAT